CATGCTGGCTGAACTATACTCGCACCACCTCTCGTCGGACAATCTCTCATAATGTAGCCTGGATAACCACAAGTATAACAAACACCTAACCCCACAAGGCACTGCCCGGTATGCTGTTTACCACACTGAGCACATCGTGGCAAGGCCGACCTCATCTGACTTGACTCACCCCTATACTGAGAACTAGATGCCCTGGAACTCTGACTGGGCCCTGAATATGTGGAACGATCAAATCTCCTACCGATAAACTGAGGGTGCACTAATCGATGGCTGGGCTGGATACCTCGGGTACTGCTATCTCCGACCACCTCGAAACTCACCAGAAGGACCTGAAGATCTCGCTCTCTTACTCTGGCCCATATCATGCTCATGATCGGCCCTCTGCTTCTGCTTACGCTCCTCTACACCCTGAGCGTATGCCTGAATACGAGAAATATCAGTGCTTGGCTGAAGTAAGATTGACATACAGTAGTTATAATAGTGGGAGCATACCTAGCCAAAGAAGCAAATTGAAGGTTGTACTCCCGAACACTCATATTACCCCGCCGAAGGGTCAAGAACCTATCAACTCTGGCCCGTCTAAGCTCTGGTGGCAAATAATGACGAAGAAAAGCCTCTGTAAACTCCTGTCATACTGCTTGAAGGGAACCCTCACCTCTGAACAACTCTCAAGACTCGTACCAATTAACTCTAACATCCCAAAGTCTATAGGAATCTAGCTCAACTGACTCAGTCGCATTGGCCTTCTTTACCCTCAAAGTCCTTTGTATCCTATCGATAAAAACATGAGGGTCCTCTTTTGGATCTGCTCCAGTAAATACCGGAGGGTCCAAATTAATCAAATCACGAACCCTACACTGATGGCCCTATCTGCCTAACCAATACCTACCTCCTGACACCGATCCTGTACGGCCACTAATCGAGGCAATAGCTGAATAACATCTCTCATCTCCTGAACCGGTGCATCTGGCTGAGGAACTGGGGGTACTGGGGCGGACGCTGGAGCTGGTGCCTCTCGGATCTCCTCTGGAGAGGGCGGGGTATGTGAAGTCTAAGATGGAGTCTCACTTTGAGACTCTCCTCGAGCCCTGGTAACTCGTGGCGCTCGACTCATTATCTCATCAGCCACGAACTTGCCCTTCTGGGCTGCTGTAGCCTTCTTAGGCATCACTGAAAACATAACATATCGTTAGAAAAATGAATCCTTATATCGCACGATCTAAGATAAGAAGGGAAGATAACATCCTATATGTCATGCAGCCTCCTGTTTATAAGTGTGGTGCACAACACACTCATAAACAAGACTCTGCTAGACACGGTCTGTAGATAACCCTAGGACAGAACTGTTTTGATACCAATTTTATCACGACCCAAACCGATGAGCCATGACGAGTGTCTGAGTCCTACCTGTCGAACACCCCTAAGCATACGTCTAAGATATAAACATGAAATAGGGGTAGGTCATGCATAACNGTCAACAAACCTCTAATAGAGTGTACAACTATATAAAGGAGGGGAATGGCCTCGTCATGCCCATATATGTATACAAAAATATCGCACCAAAATCCAATAGCAGCTCCAGATCAAATGGCGCACACTAACTCTCGCTGTGAAAGGACCCTAAGAAGGGGGACCGTCAGCCTGTTTACCTGCACAACGCAGGCCCCCAGGCAATATAGGTGTCAGTGCGAATAATGTACCGAGTATATAAGGCATAAAAATTAGTATATAAAAGACATGAAAGAAACACGGAGTAAAGGACTCAACCTGTAAGTCTGAATAGCTTTGTGAATCATGAAACATTTATAATATCATGCATATGCGTATAAATATCATATCATGCATAGGTATAAGCTTACATAACATCATCAAGCCTCTGAGGGTATCCTATCATATTATCTCAGCCTCAGTAGGCAAAATCATCAACGTATACCAACTGATTAAGTGGCGGTGCGTATATAACACTGTAACCTTTCTCCATACCCCATATATAGATAATATACACGTTAACGACATCTAGTCATGTGTCAATGTACATGTATAAATGAATGCAATGCATAAGAAGTAAAAAAAAATAAGACCTCTCGGGATGTCATAAGTTCAATATACATTCGGTTAATATCACGAAATAAACTTTATCAACTTACGTATTTTCTGAGACCCATGAGCAGACGATATAATAATAGGACATATGGGAATCAAGAACATAGGCAACCCTAGTACTTCTAAGAATCGAGTCATTTATAAAAGTTGCGTGTTTGTTCATTTCGTTGTATCGTATGGATCATGCCAAAAGGAAAGAAGGGATATCCTTAACATACCTTATAGAAATCTGTCAAATAACAATGCTAAACTCAGCCCCGCACCTTATGTACAACAACGACAGTGAAGCTATTGTCAAGCTGTGAATGACTCTCTCATTTATATAACAAAAGTAACTTAATCTGTAACAAAACGGGCAGCATTTCCCCTGATTTTAATGCTTTCTCAAGCCTACTATAGGCGAGACAACAACACAATACAATCAGCAACTCAAAAATAACCTAACTACAATTTGGGACCTTTAATAAAATAAAAATCCCAAATATACCATAATACACCCATTCGACAAGTTATCAATTAGCTTGATGTTGCAACGACAAGCGACCAGCCCATTATCCTACCACATGTGGCATTTCTCCATGCCCTTTATCCTTTCAAACTCCATAAATCATCAGCACAAGAGGCCAACAAGAGTGGGCTATAAAATAGTCCACTACAAGTGGAATAAATCGAACTCACAGCTTTCGATCACCGTCCCGTGAGTTCTAACTATTAGGAAACGAATTTATCAACCATCCTTGAGATTTAAAAGCTTAAATACAGCAAATAGGCATTTTCTTAACTATAAAGTACCTTCCAAAACTCAAACTACAAAGAAAAAGAGAGGCGGTATAATGATACTTACGTTGTAGGGATCGTTCTAATGCTATCGTTTCTTGATTTCATACCCGAGATGTTAATCCTTTTTGAAACTCTTGTAGAAAGATTAAGGATAAGTTTATAGGTCTTCTTTGTTCGTGGTCTCTAGAAAAATGAAGAAAAAGAAGACTTAAGGCATATATATATACTTTTGAAAAGTCAAAGAGGTGCTAGCTTGGCACCCTAGCATTGGCCCTTTTTCAGACGCTTATATATTTTTATCCAAGCGTCCTATGAATGAACGGTTAAAAGTGTTCGAAACTAAATTCCAAGACCTTCAATTTGGTATATAATATATCCCCAAAAAGACCTCATATAGCACACGAAATGTATTGCTCAAAAAGCTTCGTTACAAGGTAAATCTTTAGTCGGTTTTCCCGCAACTTAAATCTGATTTTTCCCAAACTTTATATTTTATATCCAAACATCATATATATAGTCATATTATGACTTTACACTCACTTAAATCATGATTAACAAGTCTCATATTCATTATACCTCACCTTGGGATGCACAGGATGTAACATAAAACTTGGCATTGACTATATATATTGTTAACTAAACTTTCAACTAGGAAAACTTCAGTACTACTTACAAATCCTATATAATAATACAAATCTCTGCATTACTTGTCACTGAACTAAACACTGAAAAAAATTTACACTAAGTTTATATTATGTAACTAGTCTGATAATATCTCAAGTTGACTGATATCGTACTGTTTTACGTGATTAGGAAAAAAAATTCTTTCCAATTGTTTGTTAAATGCCTAAATAAGGGCTGAAGTGGCAATTTCTGGTAAAGATAAATTTGGCCTAACCAATCGTCCAATAAAGAAGTGTGTTTGACCAAAAATATGTGTGGGTGCTAAGATGAAGCGACTTTGCCGCTAAATGGTGGAGACACCAAAAACAAGGCTAAAAGAGACGATTTTTGCTGTCTTAGTCAAACTTGCCGTTGTAATATATGATCCAATGAATGATACCACAGATGAACTGCTTCCGAAATTTGTTATATTATCGTTATTTAGTTCAAATATCTCTTAAATAGAATAAGCATACAAAATAAGAGTGACCGGCGAGAATCTTAGTTGAGAAACCCAACATGCATCCAACTCATTGACTCCGATCAAATTTTCGTATGAAAGAGTTTGAAACTAGCATTATTTAAATGCTCGAACTCTGTGGTGATTTAAAGAAGATGCGCTGTACGCATAACTCCGAGAGATTCTCCTACCCTTTCAAACCAAAAATCAAAAATTGACTCTTCATCAACGTCGTTTGCTGCAGCAACAATAGAGAATAACAAGTGGAAATAGGGTCATCATCTTATCATGTATAGCTAGCTATATTTGTTTTCACAATGCCGTTACTGCATTGGCCTAGAAATTTCTCTGTTTTTACCAGCCTGCAGTTTGGTGAACGGTTTTCACACACTTAATAACATTTAAACAGCTTGATACTGACAGCCCTTTTGGTTTCTAAAATATCATAAGGCCTCTTGGTCTCCTTCACATGTTCAACCCCAATTATTATATAAAAAAAGCCCTTGTAGTGACAAACATATGTAAAACTGAAAGCTGCAAGTGTTAGTATACATAAACTTTCTGCAACGTCTAAGTAAAACACTTGGATGCTGACTTAGATCAAGTTGAGCCATTTTTCCACAAAAGTTCAATAATCATCAGAAAACACTAATATTGATTTTAAAAGAAATCATCACAACCTTTTAATTCTATATAATAAATAGCAAAATATACTATACAGTCAAAAGTACCACGCTCACTAATTAGTTTCATAGATTATGCAATCATTCCGATGAAAGAAATCCTCATTTATCCACTAACAATTTCCTTCTACTGCTAAACCCTCCGTTGTAAAGTTAAAGTTACCCCCAAGGCACTCCCCCCGCATCCTTACTCTCTTAAATAACAATTGGCAGCCCCTACCATTTCCTCCCAAGTATCACCTTGCTTCCAACAAAAGAGACACAAGTCTTAACACATAATGTTACACAAGGTTTCCCAACAATCCATTGACTAGAAAGTAATCCAGTGAGGTCCATCATCAATTCCATATGTGCATAAAATTGGAGAAACAAAAGTATTTTTGTAACAAAATTTATTATTCAACATCTGAGCAAGCTATGCTCTCTTGTTAACATAATATTTAACTACAACACCCTGAAAGTATCCACCAAATAAGTAGTAACTTAAGGCCACCAACGGAGAACTTGGGAAGACACTAGGGCAATCTATTCAGAAGAGGAGAACTTCGCATAATAACAAAACAGCTGCAATCGCTTCCAGAGTTTTACCATTATTTTCGTCATCATTTGAAGAAACCAACCAACAATTCTCAATTCCTTCAGTTAAAGAAAAACCAAGCCACAAGAACCTGAGATTTAAAAAAATAAGGTAAAACTTATTTCTCAATTTTTGAAAGAGACTTGCACAAGTATGAAGACTAGAGTACTGTAATGGTATACCACATATTTAAACAAATAACTGCCACCCGTCAAGCTGCAGGTATCCTGCAAGTGAAGCAGCATGAGCAGGCGTTTGTCATGTAAACCTGTGGATAAAGAGTCCAGAATGAGAACAGAATACAATGAATATAGATCCGGAAGAAACGAAAAACATAAGATGTATAAATCGGTAGTAGAAAAAATGCCCCAATACTGTTCCCCTTCAGATAGATCACGATACCATCAGATAAATTCATTCGACTTAAAAATTCCCCCTCTACAGGCCAGTAAGAGTGCTTTTTTGGGGGGGCTTTTTTCTTAGGAAGGTGGGGAGGGGCAATTGTCACGGTGATGAAAAAACGTTAGAGGAAACAAAACACAAGAAATTATGATAGTAAACTCATGAGCAAAATTGTTACCTAAAATACATCACAACACATGAGAGCCCTAGATGAGTCCATCAACAGTCGGAGAGCATAGGGTCTGGGAGAATGCCTGCAGCACCACAAGTTTTGCTCAGATATTCGCAAAACACTAACTATAGATGGAAAATTTTAACTGTAAACTAAAAAAGAAAATTTTGACTGTAACTTTCGACCTTAATCTGCTTATTAAACAGCTTCAACCTACAAACAAGCTCACTGATCAAACTTCATCTCTGTATATCTGCAAAGAACAATAGATGAATTCAAAATTTAAAATGGTTAATTAAACAAAAAAATTCATGTAATTAAGCAAAAAGGGAAGGCTGGAAATAGAGCCTCATTTCAGAAATGTTGAATATAAGCTTGCCTGCGAGGATTCTTCTGACGCTGACCTAAGTCGTCATTTGAGAGCTCTGAGAGATGAAATGGGGCATACAAGATAAGTGATATAGGTCCACAGATATGCAGGAGCAGAGCAAATTATGCAAAAACTAGAACACAAGCACCACATATCTCACCTGGTCTCTGTTGGGGATTGCATTCATTATTTGGTTTACCGGTATTGTTCTCTTTGCTGCAAAGGAAGCGATTGTTAAGTTTCTTTTCCACTTTTTACAACCATAATCAAAAAATGCCTGCTACATGCATAGCTGCAATATTTTACAGAACCAAAAAGTCACTTTCTCACAGACAAATTGTAATAACAAATGACGTTGATAGGTGAGAATGGATGACAAATCCACAAACCAGTAACTGTCGATGAAGACTGAATAAAGACATTGCACAAGCAGAACTCTCTCAGAGATTATGCTCCTTAGACTAAACTTACAATAAATATCCATAAATAGCCAAAACAACAAAATGGATCCCTCAAAACTTTTGGTTGCAATTGTACAGGCTTTACCATTTGCTTTTCGAGCTAAGCAACCAGGACAAGTTTTTCTTCGAGAGAAAAATATGGGTCACATTAGTCTTGACACTCGTCATGCTATCAGAGTTCACACATCATGAGTAAGCCGTCGCAGAACAGACAATAGCGACATCTCCATTAAGCAAAACAAGGCAAGAGAATAATGTATATGCAAAGGAATGAAAGAAACATGTGGAACAAGTATGATACACACAAGCCAGCACGAAGAAGAATACTAATGAAACGGGGAATATCCTGAAATGGAGGTGAGAATACTGACCTTGGAGCAGCAGTGAGAGAAGATATTTGCCCAGATGGGCGAGCATTATAAGCACCATCAACAGCAAAATATGGCGAACAGTATGTTGCACCTAATGCTCCAGCAGCCCCAGCTAAAACTGGCAACCTGACAATTGAAAACCAACATCATTTAAAAATTACCCAATATAGGAAAACCAGGGTATCAATATTTATGATTAAATGAACAGAGGTAAAATAATATACAACGATTCAGATGGAAAATATGGTTTCACTCCATAGACGTGCCATTCATCCCATCCACAACTGGGTAAATGATGGAAAATGCCTAAGTAATAAAATCTCCATACAGCACATGGAAGTTACACTCATCTTTCCCTGGTCGCATTGGCATAAAAGCTTACCATGTCATCTCAGAATTCCCCAAACCACCACCAACATATCCAGGAAAGGCCATGCCAACAGCAGGAACTCCAATGCCACCGCGGTGCTGTCCCCCGAATTGCATGACTGCAAATTCACAAGAGAGGAAAACTAAGTGTCACTCGGAAGCTGGAGGTAAAAAAATGATTTTCCTTTAGGAATATGCACCAATATAATTACCATAATGTACCAATAACAAACCAACATTCTTGATAAATATCACATGGCTCAATATAACTACAGCATAATCTTGCACCAATATAATGACCATAATCTATCAATAATAGACAACATTCTTGATAAATATCACATATGGCCCAATTTAACTATAGCATAACCTATATCTATATCTATGCTAACAGATCGGAAACAGTCTCTCTGCCCTTCCAGGGTAGGGGTAAGGCTGCGTACATCCTACCCTCCCCAGACCCCACTTGTAGGATTTCACTGGGTTGTTGTTGTTGTTGTTGTTGTATATCTATGCTAATAGAAAAGTGGGATACCCACTAAATAAAAAGTTGAATGACCAAATGCCCATAAAAAGTCGATGAACGTTTATGCCCCTTAAGAACTAAATTATTCATTCAACATTAATGTAAAAAAATATAAACTATAAACTATAAAGTTTGTCTTCGAATTTAAAAGTGTCTTGAAGCTTTAAAGAATTTAAAATGACATGTTTATGTGAAATCTTTATATTTTCTAGAGTTAACCTTTTAAATTCCATAATGTTTATCATATTTTCCGGGACTTATCAAAATACTGAATATTACTATAAAATTCTGAATATTACAATATTACCCAAAAGAAATTCACTTTTGGAAAATATAATGAAGTATTTGAAGAATATAAAAGTCGATCAACATTTCAGGGTAATTTTAGTCTATCAACATTTCACCTAAAGTAGCGGGCCAAATAATTCCCAATGTTAAACTACATTTGTCACAACATGTTTTCTCACACGAACAACTATATGTTGCACTATCAAGAGCTAGGGATATCAATGTCAACAACAAAAGTTCTGTCCATGATAGAACAACCAAAGTGATGAAAGTAAATATACACCAAAAACATCATCCTCGCAGGTTCAAATAATATCCAATCATTTTGGTTCAAGCATTGAAATGTAATAACATTGACTTTAGATGCTGCATTGTTTCCCCGCCGATGACTTTATAATGAATCTTTTTACTTGTATATAATAATTTCCCAAAAATAAATTGAGTGAAAGAATACTGCACGAACCATCCTACTGAACCATTCCAAGGGGCACATACAGATGATGTTTATAAAGAATGTTATACAAATCATACTAATTATAAAAGGTCTTACCTGGCAAAAAGGTTGGTGATGCAGGAAAGTTCTGATCGCCACTACCAACACTTCCAGGTGCACCCATAACCTGAGCTCCGCCATGCAGAACTGATCCCCTTCCAGTGCTCTGAAGAGTGCCTTTTCCTTTTGCAACCATAGCACTCTTTGATTTACTTGAATCCAAAGAAGATTCAATCTCTCTAGTTTCAGAGATAGACTGTCCAGTTTTTGGGGGAGATGAACCTTGAGATCCAGTACCAGATCGCTGAGCAAACTGCTGACCAGCAACCTGGAAAGAAGGTTGTCCTCGACTTTGAACAGGATTTCTATGAGTAGAGGAGAGGTTTGTCGGCTGAGAAACTCGGTTGAATTGGTTATTTATTACAGGAGATTGGTAGTTTACAAGTGGCATTGCATTAAATCCTCTTCCTTGGCCTCTCAATGGCTGAGATTGAGTAGGATTTATTGTTGAGGAGCCAGGAGGCAACTGCAAACCAGATGATGGTTTCGCAGCTACTGCAGTAATAGGATCAGCAATATTAAGCTTGTCAAGGCTAATAGAATCACCAACATTCTTCCCTCGCAGCACTACAGTTGATCGTGCAGCAGCAGAACTATCTCCTAAAACAGAAGGCTGAGCACTGCGGCTACTTGTCCCGGTTTGCAACTCTCTCTTGTCCATTGTAGTGATTCCCTTAGTGGAGGAACTAGAGGGGTAAAATGGAGGAGAAGCAGAATTCAAGCTTGACACAAAGCTTAGCTTAGCAGCTGCCACTGCATCATTTTCTACATTTGATACAGGAGTAGATGCTTTGGCTGTGCTGTGATGTGAAAGTTTCTCAGCTGACAGACCAGATCTGAAAATTTCAATTTGATGAAGAACATTAAGAAGAATCCTTGCGGATGAGGAAAAGGAGAAAATTAATTGAATTGACACTCACTGTTTGTTTGGTGGAGGTGGTGCACCAATGTTGTCCTTAAATGAGGGCCGATACCTTCTAGGACCCCTGCCTCGCATACCCTTTGAAGTATTATTTTGAATCTTCTGATTATTATCGTTGCCCTGAATGTTGTCATTGATGTCAGCTTTGGGTCTTCGTGCTCGCACAGTTCCACGTTCAGGCCCTCGCCCTCTACCTCGTCCACGATAACGACCCCTTGAAGCCCTCCTACCCTGAGGATTTTGATAGAATAGTATTGATATAGCAACACAAGTTATGCAAAAGACTAGGAAAAAAGATAAGCAAAAACGAAGAAGCATGTGGCTATAAGCATTCACCTCTTCATAATTCCTCTCCTCCACGCTCAATTCTTCGAACTTGTCATGTCCCCATTTCCGATCATCTTTTGATTCCCATAACTTCCTTCCACCAAAAGTTCGCCTAGCAAAACAATTATACAACAATATCAAAATGTGCTCATTATTAATAGAAGAGCATTTGTAACATGTCAGGTTTGTGCATTTAAGAGAGTGAGATAACAGTAAGACCCATAAAGTGGTACATAGAAGCAACTTGAAAAGCAGTTTATGTTGTTCAGCACATTACCAGCACTGTCCGCAACGCCAATACTTAGAAGGGGTCAAAAAGTATGCCTATTCTGAAATACTCTTACGACTTACAGTTTGATCAAAATCTTCGACTTTGAGAGGAAAGAAAGAAATGCAGATTGAACTCATCTACGAGTGATCATGCATACCAGTATCCAATCACTTCCATCAAATACTATCAAAACTCATGCTTTGCAGCAGCATCACTTAGAAGAAACATTCCACTTTACAAAACTTAGTTATGATCCCAACTTTCATTGCACTTGTAATTTCCAATTCTTTAGAAAGTTATATTTAGAATTAACGATGAAAAACACAATCGCTAAACAATAAATTTAGTGCTTCTGCGGAAACATTGAAGATTGCAAACATGAAATTTGATATCTCATTTGCACTTGAAGAACGGTACAGGTTGTGTGGTGATGTTTTCGAACAAACCAAGCATCCATATAAAGAGGTTGCAATGCAGCTAACAAAAAAACATTAGACAAATGCAAGAAAAAAAATTAAAGCAGAGAAAGAATGATGTAGGTGTTTATTCTATGGTCAAGGGTACATGCAATGTTATCCCTAGTCTTCAATCACTACCTGATCATTTTGGTGTTCTAGATAAAATGCACAGGTCAACAATGACATATTCAGAATATCATTCTCACTTAGGGAACAGCTACATACCTGGATTCAGGAACAAAACCTACACGATTTGTATAAAATGTAAATATCCAGTACCGGTACTTGTAGTTTTCTGCTGATTTTCAGTGTAATTTGAAGAATCCACCCAAAGCACTCATACCCATGTCACACCTATTTGATATGGGTAAACTAAGGATCCAAATTGAGAGGTTCCCATTAAACAAAGTGACGGGAAAAAAATATATCAGATAAGCAAAATTACAACGAGGGATAGCGTGACTTTGGGTATTTCACCCTTCTTAGTTGAATGGTCTAATTTGTCTGAATATCCAAAAGATACTGGAAGAGGACTTACACTCAACTTTACCCCGATCTTCACTTTTTAAAGAAAATATTAAGATTTTGAAATCTTCCACGCTTCATTGCACAAAAGAAATAGAGCATCTATATTTCACTTTCTCTTGTCTTCACTTTTTAAAACTTTGTGTTAAGCACTCATGCTCTTCATTTATCAATTTCATAACTTCTTTTTCATTCACTCCCTCTGTTTCAAATTAGATGAGGTACTTTCTTTTTTAGTTTGTTCCAAAATAAATGACACATTTCTAAATTTGGAAATAATTCAACTTTAAACTCTTCATTTTACCCATTTTACCCTTAATGAGAAGCTTTTATAACCACACAAATATCATGGCCCCACAAAGCTTTTACCCCTTAAGCTTTTAAGACCACAAGTTTCAAAAACCTTCTTTTTTTTCTTAAACTCTGTGCCGAGTCAAACTAACTCCTCTAAATTGAAACGGAGGGAGTAGTATCCAACAGTTCTATATATAAAAAATGGATGGTAAAGTTATTATCTTCTCGTGAGGAAAGCTACAAGAGTTCACGGTGTACAGGCCTTCATTGTGTATTAATTTTAACTACAACGTCCTATCTTCCACAAATACCCCAACCCCTTTTCTGATGGAATAAAATGTAAGAGTTGACCAATGAATAACATGTACTAAAGGAAAAGGAACATGATGATGTTGAAGTCAAAGAGACACGGACAGAATCAGGTACAAACAAAAGGCATCCCGGTGCACAAAGCATCTCACATTCACGCAGGATCCGAAGAAGGGCCGCACAAGCATTAGTGGCTGCTTCCACGGCTCAAACCAGTGACTTATAGGTCATAAGGAAACAACTTTACCGTTGCTCCAAGGGTCCCCTCAAAATCAGGTACAAACTTGGGGGGG